AGAGAGAGAGAGAGAGAGAGAGAGAGAGAGGGGAGAGAGCCGCAGTTGTTCTGCCCTGATGGCCATTGCGTTATTCGTGTGCGGCCTGCTGCGTTTGTGCGACTGATGGCCTTGTTGTTGGTGTGTGGCCTGCTTCCCCCCCCCATCTCCTCCTCCGGCCACCCCTGGCTTAACCATCGGGCGTGCCATTTGCTCTGTAGACTTCTCTTGCTACAGCAGTGGGCAACCTCGTAAACCTGCAACTACTACTGCACACTGTTGTAGGCGGGTGTGGGAAGCGTTCTTTTATTTTATTTTGATCGGTCTCCTCGACGCTCTTTCTCGTTTGGTGCGGTAGCTGGTCTTTCTATCATTTTTTTTTTTTATTTTTCCAAATACAACACAACGAGTCCATTTCCGTCAGAGAAAAGAGTCAAAGACAGATTATTTTGTTTCTCTTCCGAGTGGTTTTTGTACCCTATTTTTTTTCTGTTTCTTCGTGGGGTCGTGTATGCCGGGTTTTGAGACCACTGGCTCCCAATCTTTCTTTTTTAGAGCTAATGTGAGAAACAACTGTTTACGAAGCGGCAAGTTCTATGTAGAGTCGACCCCGCTTCAAGCACGCACATGGTTTTTCGCGAAAAAAGCGTCCTTAGGGTGGGTCCTACGTAATTTTTTCAAAAGTCGAACATCTAACATCGAACAAGCGGACAGTTAGATGTTCGACTATTCTGGTCCTTTGTATTTTGCGAAAAAGCGTGAAAACAAATCCCACACACACGTTTTTGCGTTCAGGCCTATGTTTATGGTCACCAAATCTTTGAAAAAAATCTTCAAAAGTTTCCAAACATTTGCGTGTGAATATTTGTCAGAGGAAGATTTGAGTACCGCTGTTATGGGAACGAGAAAAATATCTTCGGCGGGACTGTGAGTTTCGGAGGCGTTTTGGTTCGTTTACATAAAGCACGCGGCACGGGGCCCCCTTCTCTCTCACGCTGTCTCACGAGCAACACGCGCACACCAGCTGGCGGACACAACTGTAGTTATCACTTTCCACGCCCACACACATACACACGCCAGACACACGCCACACCACACACACGCCACGNCTGTCTCACGAGCAACACGCGCACACCAGCTGGCGGACACAACTGTAGTTATCACTTTCCACGCCCACACACATACACACGCCAGACACACGCCACACCACACACACGCCACGCACACA